AGTGTCATTCTACTAGTGAGTACATGAACAGACAGCTGCAAGAGAGGTAGGGGATTTAGAGATTTGGCAGCGAGAAGGTTCATGGGGGGTGGAGAGGAGCTTTTCTGTCTACGAAGAAAAGGATGGAGAGTCACTTCTCTAGATACACCTTTTGAAATAAATAAAAGCATTGGAGAGGGGACTGTTTAAGGATTTGGAGGCTGCAGTGAGGTCCAATGACAAAAGCTTTGGCAGCATTGCAGCTGATTCAGACATAAGAGTCGGGAGGTAATTGGTATAGCGGAAAAAGCCAAGGGGGTGTCAACAGAAGTTGAATTCCCTGGAGGATTTTCATTCGCAGTTCTGGGAGATGTGGAGGATCATCCTAAGGCTCCCTGCTGTCTTCATAATTTGTTAGAAATAGTAGCGTGTGCCAAAGCTAAGGTGATCCTCTTTTGTCTCTTCTTCCTCCCTTGTTCTGATATTTTCGTTTTCCTGCCTTTTAATCATGTGACAATCTTTCCATATTATTACTCCTGTAATTAAATCTACAGTAAACATGATTCCATTTGAGTCCCACATAAAGAACGCTATATTAATGTGTAGTAATCCATGTTGTTTTCCTGGGTCAAACAAAATAAAGGGCCAAAAGCTATATTCCGTACCAAAGCATTTGTATGAAGCAAGCTGAGAGACAAACATCTAAATATTAAGATTTTAAAACAGCAAACTAAAATTATATGCAGTAGTAATATGTCGACAGTTCAGCATTTATATTTAGACAGCCTGTCTCAAGTATACCTAATATCCAGTCCCCTGATGCTTCATCATATTTATAGAATTACAGATGGAGACCCCAAAAACCTTTTTTTTCCCCCAGATATTTTATTTTTATAGTAGCAGCTAGAGGCCCCAACCAAGATTATAAAGAGCCATTGTGCTAGGCACTGTATAAACACATAAGAGACAGTCCATGCCTCAAAGAGTTTGCACTCTAAACAGACGTGAGAGACAGGAAGTGTTCTTATCTTCATTTAACTATAGGAACTGTGGTACAGAAAAGATTAAATGTCTTGCCCAGTGTCACACATGGAATCTTTTGCAGAGTTGGGAATTGAACCCAGATCTCCTTGAGTCGTAGTTCAGAGTCTTAACTAAAAAACCCATCCTTTCAAGCCAGATGATGTGTTCAAATAATGAAAAATATTTCCCACTTCAGAAGGACTATTCTGACTTTGACCAAGCGAGGATAAATTAAGTTGACAGAAGATTCAGCACCCCAGAAATCTGCAGATCCCTATATTAACTTAATGCTTGGTTACATTACTCTTACATTTGTTAATTATTATTTATATATGCTGCCATGTTGTTGGTACTGTATGTATGATGAGATTTGGTTTTGACCCCATCCTGGGGTTGTGCAACAACCCTAATCAAATGAACTTTTTATTGGCTGAAGATGCTGGGGAAGAACTTTTACAATAAGGATTGGTAACACTCTTTCTGTCAGACACAATGGCCCTAAAGATTACAGGGTATAGCACTTTCCTACATAACAGTACATAACACATACTATTTCATGCATTCATATTTATTTGTTAATATACCCGCACAGTGGGTATGTTTGTATTTGGCCTATGTGCCTCTGTATTGACAAAAATGCTACTGTAGAGTAAATTATGGCTATAATTTTAAGTAGTTTTAAAATATTTAAAACGTTTTAAACTCCCTCACTGTATTGTTTGAGTTTTGTGATATTCATGTATGTGTGTGTGTATTTACACATATTTTAATATATTTGCTTTATTATTACCAGATATTTTAGAATTATAAATGCTTCCTCCTGCCTTTGATTTTCTGCTTCTAAGGGCTGAAGCTTCCACTCTGTGGAGTTTGAGGGTTTCTTTATCTGGTTGCTGTAATTTAAATAAGTGAGCTACTTACAACCCAGTCCTTCTCACCAGCTGCTTGGTATTGTTTGGGTTGTTGGAACACAGTTATGGTAATGCTCCATTTATGGTAGTGCTCCACTGTCTGCCTTTTCAACATAAATGCATCTCTCCTGTTGTGCAAGGGAGGGGGCTTTCATATCGCTGCAGCTTTGTCATGACTATTGGTTGGTTTGTTTTTGTTTGTTTTTATTTTTAAGATTGTAATTGCTTCCAAGAGTCTTGTTTGTTTCCTTTTTTATTAGAATTTGAATGAACAGCAATGCAAGAAATCTGACATTCACATGCATGCATATATAGCCAAATGAGATTTCTACAATGCTCACTGGAATGCCCTGGCCACAATTTTCTCTAAGAACTTCTGCTTCACAGCATTCAGTTCCTTTCTCTTCATCTTCATACCTGGGTTTGAGGTCTTGAAACAGGAGTTTATGGCCTTCATAAAACAGATTCCACTCTTTCCTTGCAACTTCTGGAACATGCTTTTCCTTTTACAGAGTTCATTCAGGGATATAATCTGGCAGTTCTGCTATTCCCAAAATATGAATATTCTTGACTTTTGTTTGGTTTTCTAGATTCTCCAACCTGCGATCTAACGAGGCCACTTCTCACTGCACTCTTAACTGCAACCATCTCTGATGACATTTCCTTATGCTTCCTGGCATTTCCCTCTACCTGTTACAGTCCGCTCTCCACCTTACCTACTTGACCATCCAAGTTGCTCAGCTTTACAATGAGGGTTTCAAATATCCCCTCCAGAGAAGTCCTGGTAGACTGTTGTAGAGTCTATTTTCGCATGAAATCCATTGATGCACCAAGAAAGCCACCATATCTGGTGGGTGATAAGAGGAGACTCCAAACTAGTCCAGGCTTGTGGGTTGCTTCACAGTCGGCTGCACCGTAATTGGACAGACTTTGGAAGAGTCCTTGTTTCTCCTTTTCAGGCATGATTTTCCTCTTTCAGAAATCATTAAGGATTCTGCCATCAGGTTTTGAAAAATTTCACTCCAATAAAGTTTATTTCATTAAAATTGCCAGAAAATCTCCATGGCACTGAAAACCCTCAGGCATATCTTGCTTCTGCAACATCTTGGCTCCACCCTCAACCCCTGTCTAATACTTTTGTTTGCATAACTTTTTTCTTGTAAGTCCTTAAAATTACAGTAACCATGAGCTGCAATTTGCTAGGATTTGTAAATTACAGCAGCACTGAAGCACTTTGAGAGCACTTTATTGAAAGCTAAATACCAGACAGGTCTAGGTCATGATTGTCAAGGAATTCTCCAGCCTATGGGCCAAATCCTGGTCTCCGGGAATTTAGTGGGAGTTTTCTGGTTAATTTTTGGGTCAAGTATTTGACTATATTGGGAGAGATTGGAGAGGAAAAGAGTTGTAAAGTAGCTGTTTATTGATATTTCAGTTTAATAACTTTGGTGGTTTTAATTATATTAGCAAAATAGACCATTTGAAGTATGTTGTATAATTAATGTGATATTCATTAATACAAAACTCTGTAGACTTTTAAGGATGGAAGTGTCTGTTTAGTAGAGTCCTCTCTATCCTTGGTGTGTATTGAATTTAATAGATATATTTTGGGTTAACTGATAACATAGACATAAACACTCTGGGAGTTTTAATTTTTTTCTGATGGCATATGCATGTATGCATGCAATGGGCCATATCTATTCCTAGTGCAAGTCCATTGAAATCAGTGCAGTTGTGCTAGGGATGAATTTGGCCCACTATTTAGAAATCACATGGCAACTAATTAAATAATTGTGATTTGATATTGGCCAAATGCCTTTGGTAGAAAACAGTAAAATGTTGTTTGATCCCTTTCAAGAGAGAAAGTGGCTGTGTTAAATGAATATTTTTGCCTGTACAGTCATATGGAAAAATAGATTCATATCAATATTAATATAGACTTTCTTATTTGTACTGTATATTAAAAACAGAAGTTGACTCAAAGGCTGATAGTTGTATCTCTTCATAAACAGTTTTTAAACTGTGCAAGAATATTTGTTCTGGTTTTCAGGTTTTAACTGATAGGAACCTATGATTTTTAAAAACTCCATGTGTGGCATGGATCTATTATAGGTTGTATATGGAGGAATAAGAACAGTCCCAAAATCCAGTAAGAATGTGCCTTAGAGAATGTTTAGAGGTTAAGGCCCAAATAGCCTTTGTTTTGGGCCCCCATCTCTAGAAACTTAGCACCAGATTTTCAGAGGTGCTGAACACCCTATAGGTGTCACTGATTTAAATCAACAGGATTTATCTGTGCTCAATACCTCTGAAAATCTGGCCCTATGTTTCTAAAATCACACCTGAAATTATAGAGACTTCATGTGCAATTTTTGAGTCTCAACATGTGTGTGTGTGTGTGTGTGTGTATGTGTATGCTTGGCTATTTTACTTTTGAAAACCTTTAGCAAAGAATAACAAGGTCATAAATTGGATATTTTTTTTAAATCCTCCTATTTAGGATCTGTTGCACAAAACTTGCTTTAATGGCAATCCTTTCAAAAGAGAATTGACTCATTTACATGGCCATTGTGAGGCAATGGATGTAACAGAGCGCAGATCTTTATATGGTAGCCAGTCTTAGAAAGTTACCACTTGTAAAACTTGTATCTTGAAAAGTGAAACTTAGGAATGTTTTCTCTATATTGAGAAGAATAGGTTTGAGGTGGAAACATAGGTATTTTAGCTATGGGACCAGATGAAGGATTTGAGAATTGAATAATAAAAGCTAAGAACGTTAAACAGTTTTTATACCATACAGTACAACTTCACTTCTCTCAGATGTTGATGGATTTTTTTTCTCTAAACCGTCATTTTTTAATCTTCCATTGCTGTAAAAGCATCTTAGTGTCATTATATTCTATGTGTGCTTTGCTCTATTCTTTTTAGTTGATAATACTAATATAACACTGAGGCAATTTCACATATATGGAGCCTGCTGTTTCCAGCCTCTAATGCATCCGCAATATTTATCAGTATATGTGGTTTGGAACTGAAAGGCTTATGAAGTATCTTTTATTAACTCTACAATTTTTTAAACCTTTCAAGAGATGACACGAATAAGGAGGAAGATGAAGATGAAGAAGAAGCAGAGGAGGAGGAGGAGGAAGAGGAGGAGGAGGAGGAAGACAACAATGACAACAATGAGGAAGAAGAGTTTGAATGCTATCCACCAGGCATGAAAGTCCAAGTGCGGTATGGACGAGGGAAAAATCAAAAAATGTATGAAGCTAGTATTAAAGATTCTGATGTCGAAGGTGGAGAAGTCCTTTACTTGGTGCACTACTGTGGATGGAATGTGAGGTAACTTAAGTTTTAGCTAGTGATTACTTCCGTAAAATACTTCTAAAATACACTTGTGTATTTTAAAAACTAACTGCATATTGAATTCCGTACTCTTAACTTTTAGTACTGGTATTCTATGAAGGTCATTGTACTGTATTAAATTATTTAGATTTTTAACATATATAAATACAGTACTTCGTGACTTAGAGCTTAGGAAAAATCTTCTTAAGGTGACTTGTTCAAGGAAAACCTCACTCCTGTCTCAGTTTTCTTTTAAACACCACCAAACAACAAAGGAAATGGCAGTTAGCCCAGTTCTTTGATAAATTTCTTCTGTGGCTCTGTTCAGCCAGTTTTACTGCATACCACATTTGAGTAATCATACACTTGATTAAATCTGTATATGCACTTCTCAAAGTGCAGCACAGAGTACAAAAGCAGTTTGGTGGCATTTACCAGTAAAAAGAGATAGGAGGCCAGTTTTCATTTGGAAAAAAGATGTATTTTTTGCTGGACATCCATACTTGAGAAACCATATTTCACTTTCAGCTTCAGGTTAGACATATGAGTCACTCTGTGCACCCAGGAATCTTAATTGCACATTAGTAAATTGCAGTAAATAATTTCACTTCACTGGTTCAGACCTATTTTTTCCAATTGCCCCAATCTTCTGAACAAGACTCTTCTTAGCCTGGTGGCTTGTTATGCCATTCTTATTTTATTGGTACCATACCTGGAGTTTGTTCTTAATACAGTATTATTGAAAAACTGTTGAGGCTTAACTTATTTTTTTAAGTAAATCCTGCAGTAGAAACTTTAGTGGGAATAAGATACAAGATACTTTGAAAAAGGCAAAAAAAGTAAAGCTTCTTGAAATCTTTTAAGCCAATTATCTAGTCTTCTGCTTTTTTGCCATTTCAACATATCCTTTTCTGCTAACTGTTCTCAGGCTGCTGTCTTTTTAAACTTTGTTTTACTCAGTATGAGATTAGCAGGGCTTTAGAAGCAAGAGGTTTGAGGCAAATCTAACTTCCTTCATGAAAACCCTTATGAACCTTTTATCATCTTCACCTATCATCTGGACTTGCATTACTTTAGTACCTCTGGCCAAGAGGACAGAACAGAGGTTTCTTTGGACCTTATACAGTGCTGGCCGGATCAGCTGGCAAGGGTCACAATTGTAAAAGCAGGCCACTTTTCTCCTTCCGTTGATTCCACCATTTGCATCTGATTTCACTGAATGCATCACCCAAGCACCTACTGATCTGGGGAATTACCGTTCATTATTGAGGCCTCTGACTTCAGTCTTTTGCGGTATTTGTAGCTTGTACACCGTACTGGAATAGCCTAATTTTCTTTTACATAAAAAAGAGTCTTCAGGAAACATCAAGTAGGCTTGTCAGAGAAACAAGGCTATAGGATCCATTCCTTAAATGTTAATATACTGGGGAAGCAGAGGTCAGTTTGGGGTTTAGATAGTATTTGGAACACTACTAGTATTTCAGTCATTGCCACGAAGGACTTGCCTTAGTATCCAGACTGATGAAATTTGCACCCTGGGCCTTTGACAGTTGCTGCATAGACTTCAAAAGGGATTCGCATTTTAAAAGTCCTTTTGAGATGTCTTCATTGTTTTTTAATTCAAAGGAGAATCTTAGGAAGAGCTTTACGAATAAATTCTCTGTCTCTTCAAAGTAAATGTTATCAAACATGCTACCAGGTGAAAGAGTCGGAGGGGTTTACTCAAGCAGCACTACTTCTTAAATCTGGAAAAAATCAGAAGTTGAAATCCAGCCTTCCTCTTGCAGACCTCAGCAGCTTCATTGTTAAAGGAGAAGTCAAGATTGTGTGTTTGTGCGCTATGAACTCTGAATTTTAAACAAATGTATAGATTGATATCAAAGGGATCCTTCCTATAGCTAGGATGTATTAGATATTAAGGGCACCTTCAGTTAACCATTGACCCCCACCTCCACCAAGGTACAACAGTTATTTTCGACGTTTTGAAGTCTTCACTTGCTGCTGTTTGATCTTTTCTGCCAGCTGAACTGCATGTATGTTCCTTTCTAAAATGCCGCCGATCAAGGACAGTCTTTTTGGAGGGTTGAGAGAATATATTTCACCAAAAAGTGTTTAATCGTTTGGGCCTTCAGAAATTTTCTTAACCCCATACAATTGCTATTTAGCTACTGGAATTTATAAAGACCATCACACAGGCTAGTTAGTTTAATTCAAATGAGATAGCGGGAAATGTTGGATTAGACAGTCCATCATTATCAGGGCAGGTGAGTCTACTGCACTCCACGTCTACAAACAGCATTTGTCACAACTGTGACATGCCCCCACTTAAGGTAACATCTTGGAATTTTTATGGTGTCAAGATATGTAGTCTGTCACATATTCAGCTTGACAACTGTCTTTGAGTCAATTCCAGACTTGAAAAATAGTTGTTTTTCCTTGGTGTTTCTTGGTATTCTATTGCTCCAGGGAGGTTCATCTTAGCTGTGTGTGTGTGTGTGTGTGTGTGTGTGTGTGTATTCTTTTTCTGTTAAGTCTTGGATTTTATTCAATTTTTAAGTAGAACAAGTGATTTAAAAACCTTAGTTCATGTAATAATTGTCTCAGATGGTTTAGAATCCATGGTCTTCTTATCTCTGTTCTTTTTTCTTTAAGTTTAAAATTGTTTTTTCCTCCATTCTAAACACTATATCATGTACTACGTATTCCTCAAACCAAATACAGTCTAATCAAGAATCTTTCAACACTGATGGCATTTACTTAGAAGTTCTCATTCCAAGAGGATATTATCCCTCCCTCAGTCCATGCCTTATATCAGTATATCGGGGATGAAAGTAATATTAACTGTTCAGATATTCAGAATATTTATGCTTCACTACACTTTTTTGAAGAACCATTTAGTGATACTAAGCATAGTAGGACATTGTCAACTTTCTTGTATTAATTAGGGAAGCCTTGAAACTGAGTAATTTTCTAGCTGCACTTTATCTTGTGGAGAAGGAGATCACCATTACTACTTGTATGGATGAAGGAAGTGGGTACTGCCGATAAGGGAATCTAAGTTGGGTCTCTTAGAACAGGAATCAGACTCTCTTTAATGGAAGAAAGAGGTAATGGTACTGGTACTAGTACTAGATGCATGTTCTCTCTTATTAGAAAGAAAATTGTTTACATACCCCATATTTTTTAATATTAACCAGAAAGCTCGAGATAGAGAACAATCTTAATATCCTTTTTGCCCCTGAATAGGAAACTTTGGTTTACTTTACACTAGTGATGACATTGGTCATCTACCAGTAGCTACCATTTAGCTACCAGTGTTAGACCAGGTAGCTAAAGCTAATCCCAACAGACTCAAAACCTTACTAGTTTTTTATGCTTAGAACTAGATTCTGATGACATCTATTTGAGGTGGGGACTAGTATATTTAACCATTCTCCTGAAACCTGGGGGAATGTATCTTTTGGGAAGTAACAGTCCTAGAGAAGAAGATTACTCTGTATTCAGTTTGAAGATTGAAAGGGGAGATGGAACTAACCTAGTGGACTCAATGGGAATGAGATGTTCTCAATCATAAAATTGCAATCCTGCTACCATGTTCGTCTGAGGAAAAAGTGAAAAATTCTCAGTTGCAAAAGACATTGCTCGTGAGATTTTTGCATTCTGGAATTGCTGATACATAGTTCTATAAAGTTGTTATAGTCAGATGCTTAGAAGTGTTGGGGATCCCCTTTGTGGTTTGAAGGGTCACTTGCTGAATTTTGTACAATTTCTATGGATCTAAAACTTCCTTGGAACGTGCAGTACAAGTCCCTCTAATTGTGGTATTTGCAGTTTTCAGCTGACAACACTATGCAGATAAAATAAAATACATTGAAAGGTGAATTACAGAGGGTTTTGAAATATGAATTAACCCTGCAATATGTGCAGAATGCCCCAAATAGCATGGCGCAGAGGAGCATATTCAGCACAAATTCTAAATTAACAATCTTTGTAGGTCATTTAAACTCTTAGCAGGCTGGCTGCCAGATGCTCTGACACCCCAAAATGCATCATTCTTGGACATTACAGCTATTCTGAAATTATACCATATCCCTTTTTCTTTTGGAAATTTGGTTGGGGGAAATATTAGTTACTTACTTAATTGATTGTTTTAAGTTTTTTGTGCTTCACAGTTAGATGTTGAAGCAAAAGAGGCTTGAGGTACCCCAGGTTTGAGGAGCCCCTGAATAGTGTATGTAATTGAGAAAAGTTATGAATATTCAGAGTGAAGCCTGCTTGAGGGCATCACTTGAGACCATCAGAACCTGGTTAAGTAATATAGGAGGCTTTACCTAATGGTCCAGGCCATTTGGAAACCAGCTTTAAAGCACCCTCAATATGGGGGTTGCTCTCTAAGTAAAACTCCGCATGCCTGACAGTCATTGGCATTGACTAAACTGATATTAAGGAGTGTTTTATTTTATTCGTTTTATGTGGACTCATCCAGGGTTTGAAAAATCCACTTCCCCATCTGGAGTAGGACTCTGTTGGGTGAGTGCCATTAGCTTCTGCAGAATTTTAGCTTTCATAAAAAAAAAAATTTCTAATCCTTATGGTTGTGAAGATAATCTTCCAAACACAAACTGAGTGTAAAGCAATGCAGTTATGTCTTCCTAAGTCTGCAGAGACTGCTCCAGTACTGCCACCAGTGCTGCTAGGGTGGAAGGGGAGCCCAGCTGCTGCTCTTTCTGCTATGGAAGTCTTACAGGATAATCACTCCTTTTAGGAGTAGGGTTCCCTAGAAGTGCCACCTTCCCAACCCTTTGCACCATGGAGCACTGTGGAGGGGACACGCCATCCCAGCAGAGGGCTCTGTGTTTGTGTGGAGGCCTCACTGACATTTCTCTACCCCATCACAGCAGAAGGCCAGCACACATACACAGAGCCCTTTCTTGGGGAGCAAAGAGAAATCCTATGTACATGTGACTGACTGGCAGGAGGGGCATATGGCTCAAGAA